GCACCTGGGCTGGGGCGGGGGAGAGGTGCCTCTCCCCCCGGCTGCAGCAGGTCAGGGCTGGGTTGGGGCCAGGAGCGGGGCATTTCTCCCCACCGCAGCCTGCGCGGCGCTTAATAGGCTGCTGCACGGCCACACAGCTTAGAGGGAACTTAGGTGACACCTCTCCCAAGGACACACACGCTGGCTGCAGGCACATTGAGCATGGACACAGACACCCCACCTCCTTCAGACAGCAGCCGGCGTGGGATCCCAAGGAGCGACAGCAGGAGACAGCAGCTCCTGGGGTGCTCAGACGTGCTGCAAAGGTCAGCGGAGCTGCTCTGGTGACTAATGAACTGTCGCTGTGCGTTCCAGCTGCGAGGCCTGCAATGCAGTGGCTTGGCGCCAGGAATACCAGCCAGGGCAGTCTGCAGTCCACCAACACGCACCCCGCCCAGGGGCAATTGAGGATACCCGCGGCTCAGCTGAAGCACAGATGACACAGCGGCCATTTCAGGGGCCAACCACACATGCCCCTCCTGGCCACCAGCCAGCCTGTCCCAGAGGATGGAGGAGCCCCCATCACTGTCACGGGGCAGGAGGAGCTCTGGGATGGCCAGATAGAAGCGCGGAGTGGCAGCTTTGGGCTTCTTACGCAGCCCTTGCCCTGCGGGTTCCCAAGGGCCTGGGCCCACATTCCTGCAGAGGACGCAGCTGGGGCCAGCCCGGAGAAGCTCCCTGTGGACTCCAAGGATTCCTCACAGTTGGTTCCAGGACACCCCACCCACCGCTGCGTTTCTATAGTCGTTAGCTCGAGAAGGGGCCACTTGTGCCCACAACGGGCACAGGAATTGGCAGCATTGCCAGGGGCTGTTGGTAGCTCTATGGCCCCTTCTTATAGCCACTGTGGGAAGACAGGACACTGGGCTAGATGGACCTTTGGTCTGACCCAGCCTGGCCGTTCGTATGTTCTTATACAGCTGTCCAGGAACTGCTAAGTCCCATCTTCAGAGCCTGCTCCTTCCTTGCCCCTGTGACTTGGCGAGAATAACGTGTGCCCCCTTCCCTAGTCCAGAGCGTGACATGTCCCTTGGGCTGAGCCGTGCGCTGAGCTGAGGACGGGGGGATCCATGGTGCCGAGCAGTGCAGGCCCCCAATTCCCATGCTCTAGTCAAATGCAGCTTTAAGCCAGATGCCATAATACAGCGCCACGGGCAGGCACCCACTCGGGCATGCTCCCTCCCCCTCCCCGCACAAGAGCGAGGAAAAGCGGGGGGCTGGAGTGGCCATGGCACATCCCCATAGCATGGCGCGTCCACTCGGGGCCAGCGCAAGAGACGCGATTCTCCCGCAGCGTCGCGCTTTGGTACAAGGTGCTTGACGAGGTCACAATGCGACTGCAGGGGTCCTGGGCCCAGAACACACAGGCGCCGACTTTCCAATGTGCCAAGGGGTGCTCCAGGCCTCGCCCCCACCCCGCCTCTTCCTGGCCCCACCGTGCTCTCACTCCTCCCACCTCAGCACCTCCTGCACACCCTGTCACGGCGGGTGGGCGCTGCGGGGAGGGAGGGGGAGGTGCTGATTGGGGGGCTCGCAAGCAGGCAGGCAAGAGGCACTCGGGGGGAGGGGAGAGCTGATGGGGGGCTGATGGTGGGTGCTCAGCACCCACCATTTTTTCCCTGTGGGTGCTCCAGCCCCAGAGCACCCACGGAGTCAGCGCCAATGCCCGGACAGCTCTTTGCAGTCAGCCCTGTCAGACCGGCTCTGCTCCCCCCTGCCGGGGCGGAACTCGGGAAGGAAGCCTGGCCACCAAGCCACTTGAGCCTGGCCACCAAGCCACTTGCTCTCACCTCCCAGCTGGGGGTAGGAACAGGCCACTGGAGCAAATGCCTGCAGGGCTGAGGAGCAGCTGCCACCCCCAAGCACACATGAGGAGGCAGGCCCGGGAAAGCAGGGCAGGGGAGCCTAGTGCTCAGGCCCAGCAGCCTGGACCTTCCCCGGTGTGGCCAAAAGGGACCCCACAGCAAACCAGACTGCAGGCTTCCACGCAGCAAGCGCAAGCTCCACCCATTGGTACAGATGGGTCTGGAGGGCGCAGGCTCAGAGGAGCCCATCACTGCCCCCAGACACTCCCCCGGCAGGGATGCAGGGTTTCATTTAGAGCCAGGTACAGTGGCACTATGGCTGCTCTTTGCAGAGTGTGGGTAATCACACACACAGAACTGGGTCGGGCTAGTGATTATCCAGGATGGGGACAGAGCGAGCAGCTGCACAGAGCCCTATGCCGAGCACATAGGCACACCTCAAGGTAAGAACATAAGAACAGCCCTACTGGGTCAGACCAAAGGTCCATCTAACCCAGTGTCCTGTCTTCCGACAGTGGCCAATGCCAGGTGCCCCAGAGGGAATGAACAGAACAGGGAATCAACAAGTGATCCATCCCGTCACTCGTTCCCAGCTTCTCGCAAACAGAGGCTAGGGATACCATCCCTGCCCATCCTGGCTAACAGCCATTGATGGACCTATCCTCCATGAACTTATCCAGTTCTTTTTTGAACCGAGTTATGGTCCTGACCTTCACAACATCCCCTGGCAAGGAATTCCACGGATTGACTGTGATTTGTGTGAAGAAATACTGCTTTCTGTTTGTTTTCAAACTGCTGCCTATTAATTTCATTGGGTGACCCCTTGTTCTTGGGTTATGAGAAGTAGTAAACAACACTTCCTTATCTACTTTCTCCACACCAGTCATGATTTTATAGAATCATAGAAGAATCATAGAATCATAGAATATAAGGGTTGGAAGGGACCCCAGAAGGTCATCTAGTCCAACCCCCTGCTCGAAGCAGGACCAATTCCCAGTTAAATCATCCCAGCCAGGGCTTTGTCAAGCCTGACCTTAAAAACCTCTAAGGAAGGAGATTCTACCACCTCCCTAGGTAACGCATTCCAGTGTTTCACCACCCTCTTAGTGAAAAAGTTTTTCCTAATATCCAATCTAAACCTCCCCCACTGCAACTTGAGACCATTACTCCTCGTTCTGTCATCTGCTACCATTGAGAACAGTCTAGAGCCATCCTCTTTGGAACCCCCTTTCAGGTAGTTGAAAGCAGCTATCAAATCCCCCCTCATTCTTCTCTTCTGCAGGCTAAACAATCCCAGCTCCCTCAGCCTCTCCTCATAAGTCATGTGTTCCAGACCCCTAATCATTTTGGTTGCCCTTCGCTGGACTCTCTCCAATTTATCCACATCCTTCTTGAAGTGTGGGGCCCAAAACTGGACACAGTACTCCAGATGAGGCCTCACCAATGTCGAATAGAGGGGAACGATCACGTCCCTCGATCTGCTCGCTATGCCCCTACTTATACATCCCAAAATGCCATTGGCCTTCTTGGCAACAAGGGCACACTGCTGACTTATATCCAGCTTCTCGTCCACTGTCACCCCTAGGTCCTTTTCCGCAGAACTGCTGCCTAGCCATTCGGTCCCTAGTCTGTAGCTGTGCATTGGGTTCTTCCGTCCTAAGTGCAGGACCCTGCACTTATCCTTATTGAACCTCATCAGATTTCTTTTGGCCCAATCCTCCAATTTGTCTAGGTCCTTCTGTATCCTATCCCTCCCCTCCAGCGTATCTACCAGACCACTTTTTTTTACAGACCTCAATCATATCCCCCCTTAGTCATCTCTTTTCCAAGCTGAAAAGTCCCAGTCTTATTAATCTCTCCCCATACGGAAGCCATTCCAGACCCCAATCATTTTTGTTGCTCTTTTCTGAACCTTTTCCAATTCCAATATATCTTTTTTGAGACGCAGCGACCACATCTGTGCACAGTAATTCAAGATGTGGGCATCCCTGGCTTTATATAAAGGCAACATGATATTTTCTGTCCTATTATCTATCCCTTTCTTAACGATTCCCAGCATTCTGTTCGCTTTTTTGACGGCCGCTGCATATGGAGTGGATGTTTTCAGAGAACTCTCCACAGTGACTCCAAGATCTCTTTCTTGAGCGATAACAGCTAATTTAGACCCCATCGAAGTGTGGATGCTGCCCAGCAAAGTAAGAATTGCTATCCCATAGGGCTTTGCCCACCCCAGGAGAAGTTACTCATAGCAACGCTCCCACCTTACTAACTGCTTCACTGAGCCCTCCCTCCTCCCAGCTAGTCTAAGGAGCCTCCATCTGACCGGCAGCGACTCCGAGAGGCTGGGGGTCGGGGCAGAGAATCAGCTGAACCCGAGCTCTCAGCAAGACGCTGTGGCCAAAAATCCTAATGCGACATGGAGAAGTAGGGGCAGTGAGGTTATTTTACCTCTATTTGGCACTGGTGCGACTACTGCTTGGATCCTGGGTCCAGCTCTGGTACCCACCATTCAAGAAGGATGTTGATAAATTGGCGAGGGGTCCGAGAAGAGCCACGAGAATGATTAAAGGATTAGAAAACCTGCCTTGTAGTGATAAGCTAAACTGATTCAGCTCGGAGTCTAACAAGGGTTCGGGGGGACTTGGTCATAGTCTATAAGAACCTACAGGGGGAACAAACATTTTGTAATCGGCTCGTCCAGCTGACAGAAGAAGGGCTAACACGAGCCAAGGCCTGGCAGCTGAAACCAGACAGATCCAGACTGGCAATAAGGAGTAAGTTATTAACAGGGAGAGGAACTAACCAGTGGAACAATTTCCCAAGGGCCATGGTGGATTCCCCATCATTGACAGTGTTTCAGTCAAGCCCAGATATTTTTCCAGATCTCCTCTGGATCCGTCAGGAAGCCCTCTGGGCTGTGTTATCCAGGGGGTCGGACAGGGTGAGCTACAAATGATCTACAAATCACCTGAGCCGGAGCTAAGCTGGTGCCTTGAATGAAAGGACTTTCACCCTGACACCACCACCACCCCCCCTCGCCCCCCAGCAGCAGCACATGGGGACCAGGTCAGGTTCCTCGCGCCACCTGCCCAGGGAGGAGGGCATGTGCCAGGATCGCTCTCCAGCACCATCACTAACCCACCGGGCCACAGGTACCTTGGTGCCATGGTAGAAGTCGTCCACGCAGGTGGCATTCATGAAGGTCTGGTGGAAGTGAGTGCTGGTGTCGATGCCGCCCGGGATCACCAGCTTCCCGGTGGCGTCGATCACCTTGGCCCCTCCCGGGATCATGAGCTCCCGGCCCACTTGCTGGATGATGCCGTTCTCAATGTAGACGTCGGCCTCCAGGGTGCAGTCGTCATTCACCACCTTCCCCCCCTTGATGAGGATCCGCATCGTGGCCGAGTTGGCAAGCATGGCTCTGAAAGGGGAGAGAAGCAACGGGTTAGGGTCAGCCATCCAATGGCCCCTGCAGGCCCCCTGCCATGCCACTGCCTGCCTGGCACAAGTAGAGCTGGGAGGGAGCCGGGAGCCCCATTTCCCTGCCCTGCAGCACCAACAGAAGCCCCCACCCCAGCCTTGCCAGACCCAGAACTTCCATCCCCAGCAGCCAGCGAGATGGCCGGCACTCAGGTGAGACCTGGTCACTGCAAGGAAGGACAACTAACCGCCTAGCCTAGAAGGGGTCTACCTCCCACCCACAGCCGCGGCAGCTGGAGGAACAGCTAGAGACACCTAGGGGTGCTGGAAGGAGCCTGGGAGGGAGATGTGGCGTCAAGAGGCCATGTGTCAGAAGGGGAGTGGCCGGACAGATTCGGGAAAGGCGAGCTTATGGGGCTGGTGGATTTTTGGGGAGTCTCATACATTGAATGAGGGGGCAGAGCTTTTGGAGGGAGCCCCTTGTTAGTGCTGTCCCAGCATGACGCCAGGCACAGGGGCAATGCAAGAGGCCGCAGGGTCACTGCAAAGAGCCGCTCTGTCTTGGGGCTGGAGGGGAAAGGACATGGTGGGTTCCAAGCAGAATAGGGCAGTTGCAGCCCTGAAGGAGTGGTTAGCTGCCACCTCCCTCCCTACAGCAGTGCACTCAGGGCCAGCCTGGGCTGTCCAAGAGGAGTGGGAGTCTCAGACACCTGGCCCCATACAAGTGCCCACACCCTGCCCCTCAGCAGGGCCGCCCTGCCCCACCTAGGCCTGCTGGCTTTGACCATGGGGGCAGCCTCTCCTTTGCTGCGATGGACACAGCACAAGGGGCTTGTGGTCCAAGTAGCACTTCAGAGGAGCAGGGGCTCACTGCCCGGCGTGCGCTGGGGATGCGGCTGGCTGCTGGGAGCCAGGGAGGGATTGCAGCAGGGACTGGGCAAGGCAGGCATGGCTGATTCTCCCCACGGCTCAGCAGGGTGCAGGTGCAGGAGCCAGGGAGGGACCACAGCGGGGACTGGGCTAGGCAGGCATGGCTGCATCTCCCCAGGGCGTAGCAGGATGTGGGTGCAGAAGGCCTGGCTGGACTCTCACACCAGGCCAGATGCCCGCTGCTCACAGTAACAGGGGGAGCCCCCTGGCAAGTATGGGGGACACTGGCATCAAAGCTGGGTGGAAACAGGCCTGTGCCAGCCAGCGACTCCCACTGACCTGCCCTTGGCTCACGGGGACTTTCTGTAATGGATGGTGGGCGTGCAGAGGGCAGGATGGGTGGGGTGCATCCCTTTACTAGCAGATGCTGCGGGAGCCCCTGCCAGCCTCCCATGGGCGCATTCAGCCAGAGCGAGCAGCTGCTGGCGCTCTCAGTGGGAAAGGCTATGTGCAGGCTAAGCCAGCCTTTGGGTCTGCTGGGGGGAGGGGAGCGCACGGGGGCCAGGGCTGTCAGGGATTACCCAGGAGGTGTCAAACACCCGCCAGCCCCTGGTGTATGTAAACAGCAGATTATCCCAGTGCAAACCTAGAAGATCAGCATGCTGGGGCCATCACAGGGGCCGCATCAGAACCAAGCCCTCAGAGAGGGGCAAGAAGAGGGTGGAAGCAGGGCAGCAGCTGCCCCTGGACCCATCACCGAGGGCATCGGAGGGACCCCTCTTTCAGGCAGTGGTATGCTCCCCAGCTGCCAGCACGCCCGGGTTTCCAAGCTGCATGCCCAGTGGCAGATCCTGGGCTCCAAGCGCAGGAGCTACGTGGATGTATCTTTCATGAGCAGCCTCATTCTCTTGGAGTTCAGACACCTGGCGCTCGGGCCGAACTGGAGGGGCAGGGTGCAGCCACACAGCCCCGGAAACAGGTGCAGGAAGTCCAAGAGGGGTATGGCTGGAAAGCCTGCTGGATGTCACCCCATAGTCGGAGTGTCCCTAGCCTCTGTTTGCTAGAAGCTAGGAGCGGACCATAGGGGCTGGATCACTCAATTGCCTTGCTCTGTTCATTCCCTCCGAAGCACCCGACATTGGCCGCTGTTGGCAGACAGGACACTGGGCTAGATGGATCATTGGTCTGCCCCAGTGTGGCCAGTTTTATGTTAAATAATTCCTACAGCAGACCTCTTAGAAAAACATCCAGTATTCCCGTAAACAGTGCCAGTGCTGGATAATCCACCACCACCCTTGGGAAATGGTGAGTTATTCTCACTGTTAAACACTTAGGCCTTATTTCCAGTCTGAATTTGTCTAGCTTCAAACTCCAGCCCCTAGATGGGGTTAGAACTTCCTCTGCTAGCCTGAAGAGCCCATTATTAAATATTTGTTCCCTGTGTTTATGCTTTTAGACTGCGATCAAGTCATCCCTTAACCTTCTCTTTGCTAGGCTAAATAGACTAAACACGTTGAGTCTGTCATGAGGCAGGTTTTCTAATCTCATGTCTCTTCTCTGACCCCTCGCCAATTTATCAATGTCCTCCTTGAATTGTGGGCACCAGAACGGGATTCCAGCCGTGGTCACGCCCATACCACACGTGACAAAGTGGGACTGTTCTTAATGGTTCCTCTGAATAGTGTGGGGGTGCCTCAGTTTCCCCTATGCAGTTCTTAAGTATCTAGGGGGTGGGATAAGGGTGTATGATCGTTGCAGAGCCCTAGAGGGCAGGTGTGTGCAGGGGTCTGGACACAGAGAATGGCCAACACCGTGTTTCCTAGCAACTGATGGCCTGGGCCCTTCCCTCTGCAAGGTGAGAGCTAAAGGGTTGGAGAACAAAGGAATCAGGTGCCCTCCTGGCCCGTGAAAGGGACAAAGCGGGGGGGGGGGGGGGCCTGTCGTCTAATAAACCTCTGTTTTACTGGCTGGCTAAGAGTCACGTCTGACTGTGGAGTTGGGGGGCAGGACCCTCTGGCTTCCCCAGGACCCCGCCTGGGGGGACTCACTGTGGGAAGCACAGGGAGGGGCAGAGGAGGCTGAATGCTCCAAGGTCAGACCCAGGAAGGTGGAAGCTGTTTGTCCTGCAGACAGGCTGCTCACAGAGAGGAGACTTCCCCAGAGTCCTGACCGGCTTCATGGGGAGCAGTTCCAGAGCATCGCCTGGGGACTCCATGACACCACATAGAGGTAAAAAGCTCTTGACTCCTACTCAAGATTCCCGTTTACGCATCCCAAGATGGGATGTCTTTTAGCCACAGCATCACAATGGGAGCTTATGGTCAGCTGATTATCCATCGCAACCCCCAAAACTTTTTGCAGAGTCCCTGCTGCCCAGGGTCGAGTCCCCCAGCCTGTAAGTACAGCCTCCATTCTTTGTTGCTAGATGTACACGTTTACATTTAGCCATGTGAAAAGGCATTTTGTTTATTTGTGCCCAATTTACCAAGCGATCCACATCGCTCTGTATCAGGGATCTGTCCTCTTCATTATTTACCACACCCCCATTTTTCTGTCATCAGCAATCTGTATCAGTGATAAGTTTATATTTTCTTCCTGATCATTGATAAAGATGTTAAATAGCCTAGGGCCTAGAACTGATCTTTGCGGGTGGAAACACCCACTTGATGACAATTCCCCATTTACAACTGCATTTTGAGACCTATCAGTTAGCCAGTTTTTAATCCAACTCTTCATTTTACTCAGGACAGTCCTGTAGGCCCTGGACTATCTGTGCCAGCAGCTCCTTGGCCTCTAGGCACTGCCCCAAGGCAGGCAAGAAGTGCTAACACCCATGGAGAACCCCATCCCCCCAGCATCCTGGGCTCAGCAAGGGCAGGAGACTCTCTAGCCCCACCTCGCACTGAGCCCCTGCTGCCCGCTAGGAGTCCACAGCCCAATGCACTCACGGCTCAGCCACTGAGCGGAGATGAGCCGCAGGGTGGGACCCGAGTGGCAGGAACCAGCCCTGTTCATGAGGGCAGCAGGAAAGGCCATGGGGGCCCTTGAAGACAGAGCAGCCACTTATATCCAGGTCACTGTCCCCATGCTGCTTCCTGCCCCGGGGCTGTGGAGCAGAAGCGGCAGCCACAGTCCATCCACCCTGCACCTGGGGAAATCCCCCTATTTTAAAACCAAATGTAGACAGAAGGGGAGGGATGTTCAGCAGCTGGGGGTCACCCATGGGCCAAGGCCAGCGGGGCTCCTGGCAGCCTCAAGGTGGTGCAGAGAGCTGGGATTCTGGACTCTGACGCTGCCTTTCCCATTCAGCAGCAGAACCGAGCTGGGGGTGGGGAGATGACCTGCAACGGGGACACTTATGTCCAAAGGGCTTTGTTTCAAGCAGAAGGGCCCCGGGCCATGACCCCCTGAAAGCTCCCAGTGCCACATGGCTGCTCCCTCCCTGGGGCACAAGGCAGAACAGTTGCTGCACCATAGCCAGAGCGTGACCCGAGGGAACACCCCCTAGACCCCGCAAACAGAGCCATGTCGGGGTGCAGGTGGCACAGCAGGCTGGGAAGATGGAGGGAGACACATTTTCCCAAGGGGAGCGCCTTCTGCTGGGGTGGAGGAGTTACGCTCCCACTCCCCAGTCCGGGGCTGTATACGGGGCATCCCAGCTTACCCTGGCTGAGCCCCAAACAGCCGCCCCCCCTCCACTGCTCAGCACTAAGCCAGCCCACGTCAAGCAGCTGCCGGGGACTCCAGCAGGGAGCATTGGAGCTATTAGCAAAAGGCTTCTAAGAGAGGCCAGAAAAGACCCCAGCAGCACAGGCCCCTGGCTCAGGCGCAAGGGGGTCCGGTTGGGCTGCAGCTCTACCCTGAGTGGTGCCCTGCACCCCCTTCCCTCCAGCGACTGCTCTTTGCTCTGTGGGATGTTTCATGATGGAACGTGTGCACCTGGTGACCACAGAGAATGGGCAGTGCCAGGCTGGCCAGGGCATTGCTCTACGACCCTCACAGTCACCTCTCCTACAATGCCCCCCCGGCCCTTGAGATGCTGGCCAGCCTCCCACACCCCGGCTGCTTTCGATCCTCTCCTGGCCTACTGCAGGCTCCACAGCCACCACCCCTTCCCCACAGCTCCCCCAC